GCGGGGGGGGGGGGAAGACTTAACAACTACAACTCCTTGAAGTTGATACGACAAGCAAACAGAAAGGACATTGTTGGGTGAGAGGGGGGGAGAGAAAGGAGGGAGGGGGGTTCTGGTAATGGGCCACAATAATCAACCTCATTGTATATCGACAAAATAAAATTAAGAAAGAAAATAAATAAATAAATAAATAAATAAATAAATAAATAAATAAATAAATAAATAAATAAATAAATAAATAAATAAATAAATAAATAAATAAATAAATAAATAAATAAATAAATAAATAAATAAATAAATAAATAAATAAATAAATAAATAAATAAATAAATAAATAAATAAATAAATAAATAAATAAATAAATAAATAAATAAATAAATAAATAAATAAATAAATAAATAAATAAATAAATAAATAAATAAATAAATAAATAAATAAATAAATAAATAAATAAATAAATAAATAAATAAATAAATAAATAAATAAATAAATAAATAAATAAATAAATAAATAAATAAATAAATAAATAAATAAATAAATAAATAAATAAATAAATAAATAAATAAATAAATAAATAAATAAATAAATAAATAAATAAATAAATAAATAAATAAATAAATAACAGAACAGAAAGGGGCCAGTTCCAAAACACTGAGGAATCCCAACATTTGATATCCAAGTGGAATGAAATGAGCTTTCCTAAGAAATTGAGCAGGAAAATTGGGAAGAAAAGTGGGAGAGCAAGTGAGGAAAGAGATTGTGTCAAGAAGGAGGGAGAAGCTAATATTGTCCACAGCTACGAAGACCTCCATCCAATATGATGAGGACAGAAACGTTTCCATGGCATTTTGCAGAATGGAGATCGCTGGTCACTCACTAAAGCTACTTGGATAGAGAGAGGGGAGTGGGCACTAGACTGAAATAGATTTCTGAAGAGTGAATGTCAGGGATAAGGCATGAGGAAGTGGTGGCAGTGACACAGACACAACTTGCTGTGTCAATTGGAGGAATCAAGAAGGACAGAAGTTGTTATTTCTAAGAGGATTTGAGAAAAATAGAGAATTTCGTTGTTTATTTTGTTTTGCCTTTTATGGTTTTGTTGTTGGGATTTGTTTCTGGAGAGACTTGAGATATTGAAAAATCAGTGGGAACTCTAAAGCAGTTGAGAAAAACAGTTTGATAGTATTAAGATCCCGATAAAGCCAAGGAGTTGGGATCAAGTAGAGAATAAGAATAGAATGGGTGTCAGGTGTAGGTGGGTTCTATGATGGATATGAGGAAGCTGAGGGCTTCATTTGTATGTGCCTGTGTGTGAAAAGAAGGTCACGTGCCCAGACCAGAGCATTTGCTGAAATAGCCAGTAGTAAGTTAGATAAAAGTTTAAGAAGAGTGGGTAAAATTTGCAATTGTCACCAACAAGAATGGGATATTTAATTAACCAAAAAAAAGTAGTAGGATCATGGGAATAATAACAGTCCATTTGAGATATGCGTGGAATCAACCTGCCCTGTTGCAAGACTGCAGAGTAGAAGACAAGCATAAAAAATGCAGATAGTTAGAGGCTTTCAGGAACGAGATTTGGCCAAAAGGCAATGGAGAAAGGACAAAAGGGACGGAAAGGACGTTGATGGAAAGTGAAAAAAGGAGAGATATGATGGTCTAGGAGAAAGTGTAGGGGTCAATGGACTAGAGCACTTGAGGGTGACAGGGTATTTGCAGTGTAAGAAGTTGCACCAGCAAGTTTGGTGGACAGATAGCTCTTGCTGGAGACTAAGATGCCTGAGTGAGTTATTTGGTAAGAGGAACAGTTTGGGATAATGACAAGATCCAGGGGTGTTTGCGGGCATTGAAGACTAAGACAGAGTGAAGAAAAGGCTATTGAAGGGGAGGTTCTAACTAGGTCATTTCCATCAATGTTGAAGTTACCCAGAATGAAGGCAGCCCTGAAGGGGAAATGTACCTAACGAGCCAGGAACCGATAGCCCAAAAGTCTGTAGCTAACAGCAGCAGAAACCATACAGGGTGTTAAAGTGAAGCAGCCTCAAAGAAGCAAGTTTTTTTAATGAATGGATTTGGGAATAACCTTAAAGCAGCACCAAAGAGAAGGTGCATATCAACCTTACCTCGAAGTTCTGCTTTTATAATAACATTTAAACCTATGTCATCCATCCTCTCTAATAACCAAATTATGTTCACAGTCAAAAATTACATATGGTCGATTTATAGCAGAGAATATTAAAATTACCTTAGTTACACCATTCACGTTGTGGGAAGAATTATTAACTACCTTATGTTTCTAAGTGAAGGGACTTATCTAGAGCAGGTGTCAGCAAGCTTATTCTTTAAAGGAGACAAACAGTGTCAGTCACAACTACTCAAGTCTGCAGTTACAGCGTAAAAGCCGTCATAAACAGTGTATAAATGAAGGTGATATTTTGAACCCATTCTGTCTTATTCTCATAAATATTATTCAATTTTTCTGGACTCAGGTGAAAAAAAAGATTGGCATTTATTTGGTCCCTTAAAAAACCAACAATTATTTCTTCTAGATTTAAAAATTAAGGAAGATCAGCCAAAGGTTCATGATTTTCCATTCCCCCAAAATAAAATTGAAATCACTCACCTGAACATACAGTTCTCTGAGTTCATATTGAAATTTCTTGGGATCTGTGGTAATTGTGACTGGGCCAATTTCTGTGAAGATAAAAATAAACTAAATCAATAAAGAGTAATCAATAGCATTAAAGACTTTGCTATGTTTACAAATGTCTTTCAACTGTGCACCACATGGTTATTTATTTACCAGAAATAGCAAAATACCGAAGACTATTTCTTAATTTACAGCTAACAAGAATAACTTATAATTTACTGTAAATTATGCATGCCCCTACAAGAGCAAATTTTTAACCTTAGAAAATGCAAGAGAGCGTCAAAAACGACACAGGACAAAGATATGGCTCCATGTAACTGGAGACACCAGTTCCAGTTCTTTATTACTCTCACTAGTCAGTACGTATTTATTAAATACCTACTTTGTTATTAGAATCTAAGGGAATCACTTATTGATCCTATGATTCAGTTTTCTCAACTATAAAGTATAAATCTGTCTGCAACTTTTCTGTAAGTCTGAATTAGTTCAAAGTAAAAAGTTGAATGCTAAACAAACACGAAAAATTGAATATTCACTGCCTATCCCACGAGCTTTTTGAGAACTTGGAGAAACACAGATACAATGACATTGAAAACACAGGAAATAGTCCCTCTAACTTTTGTCCCCACAGCTGGGATGGCTGAACATTGCTATCACCATTCTTCTGAGCTGGCTTTGATCATAATTACCTTCAGGGTTCTGTCCACCCTCATGACTTCCCTAATGTACTGCACAATCCACTGCTTCAAGTGGGGACAGGTGGGGCCACTGCCTTCCCTGGAAAGCCAGAACTTAAATCATAAGTCAGGTGAAGAGGAGGAGCCCAGATACCAGTTTGGGTTAAGTTGGAAATATGTACATATTGTTTTATAATAAAAATATTATTTTTGGTAGGATACAGCATATCTATAGTAAATATTTTAATCCCCAAAGCTTATTCTCTTTAAAAAATCAATTTTTAAAAAAGATAAGCTGAAAGTGGCCTTTTATGGATATCATTTACTGTCCCCAAAAAGCATCCAGATACATAAATGATATATTTAAGAATATTAAAATTCATCTGAGTATCATGTACACAGACATATCTTAAATTTCTGGGATGGATGGAAAGTTTTCTGTTTTATGTAATAAAGATACAGGCAGCATTCGAACCTATAATGTGCAACTACAATACAAAATTATAAAGATACTCAAGATTTAGCTTTTACAAAATATGTTCTAGCTTCCAAGGCATAATGTAGAAAAGGACTTTATAACTTTAAAGGAGGACAATTAATTAGCCAGGCTTTTTATAACATGTTACATATGGTACAGAAACAGACTGTAGGACTTTTTTTAAAATAATAAGGTAAATTGGAAAGGAGGCACAATTTGTCTGCCATAACATGTTATTTTTCTTAGAAATTACAGGGAAAAAAATGCCTCAGTCATTCTCTATAGATCAGACACCTTGCAATTCGCAAAAGGAATGGAGAAGCGACTGGAGAAACTGAAAATACAAACATCTGCATTCCATACAAAGCAGAACAGTCATTAGCCATGTCCTGAGTATATGGAAAATGGGAGAAGCCTACTCCCTCAAGACTAAACAAAGGCATATTTCGCAAAGGAATGCAAAAGCGCAAAGAATATGCCAGGCAGTTACACCCTGACATAGAAATCGTAAGCAGCATGGTCAAGCCAAGCTTGTATGTTCCTACATTGCATAATACTGTAATAATCCCAGAATTTAAAACTCAAAAAGTAGAAAGGAATACAAAGAATACTAGAAAAAGCCAATTATATAAGAATTTTTTAAAGTGTGTAAATGTTCAAGGACATTCCCTATGATAAAAAAAATGTAGCTCTGGTTATATGCCTGTTCCTCAAGAGTGGGGATCAAGGAGTGCTATTAAATTAAGAGGACTGATGAGCCTTCATTTTAGTTAACCAAAGACTCTCAAAAATACACCTGTTTTCAACAAAGACAGGAAATCTCTCCTAAAGCTCATTAATAAACATTTTTGCAAACCACACTAGACAGCTGAGATAAATCTTTTATCAGTTATGAGAAATACTCAGAAGGGGTAACAGCTTGCCAAGCTGCCATATCCCTCCAGCTGTAAGCATCCTTTTCCAACTCTTCTTAACTGAATGATATGACAATTTGGCAAAATCAGCCCTTCTCCTTTTCAGGACTCACTTCCATCCCAGACTTTCTCTTCATATAACAGAGCCCTGTGCCAGATGTGTCATTAGCAATTTCCTCCTCTCTTCTTTTTTGCTCATGTTGGTTTTATCCGCTGCCAAGCCTTTGATGACATGCAGCAGGTACAACTTTGTCCTCTCTTCCTGCCTGAACATGGTCCTCTATTGCTTGCAGAATTAAATGGGAATTCTCCAAAGCAATCCAGGCCTTCTCTTCTGTGTATTCAAACTTCAAACTTCGTCAACACCCCTTGGCATGAAGCTATTGTGCTTTCTCACCATCCCCATGGCCATCTCCCATGTCTTTCATCTGCCCATGCACCTGAGTCTACAAGGCCTAACTAATTTCAATCTTATTTCCTTGATTGTTTGCCTTTTCTCTAATTTGCTTTTAAGTTGTCTTGATAATATTGTCTATAATAAAAACACGGGAAAAATGAAGTTGCATAATATTCAACAGAATGCGGAGATCATATCCACTTTGTTCGGTTTATTTTATCTAAAATAAAAAGAAAATCCACCAAAAGAATATAAAACAACCATCAATCTCCAAATAGAATGATAAAGCTAGAAGGGGCATTAAAGATCATTTGATACAATCCACTCATCCTACAGTCAAGAAAACTTAAGGTCCAGAGAGGATAAAATTGAAAAAACTTTGGTGGTAAAGAAAGAGGTTAAGACATCTGATAACATTTTCTACACGGAGCAACCTACACAGTTCATTAACTTTCCTTCTTTTCCAAGATCTTCATTGTGTGAATATTATTTCACCACTAACTTTCTCCTCCTTTCCTCTAGACCATGGCAGGTTGGGCCACATTCAGCTTCCTTAATTTAATGCACATAACACTCAGAATTCTTCATTGTCACATGCTGGTATATTTTCTTTAATAGAATGAAGACTTTATCCCTCTTGCCTACTAACTACTATAAACACACAAAGAAACCTCACTGGAAGAAAGCTTTTTCAAATCTATTTACCAAAAAATTACTGTATTGAAAACCTACTATATGTGAACACTACTATATACGGTTGCCACCGGTAACATGAAGATAAACAAACATGGACCCTGTCCTCAAAGGCTCAACAGTCTAGTGGAGAAGATCAAAATGTAGATACATAATTATAGTGCAATGTAGCAAGTGCAGAAAAGGAAGTATGGAAAAGATAGTGTAAAAGCTTAGACGATAAGCCAAAGTAGAAGCTTAGGGCATAAGCCAAAGCCACCCGGCCTCTTTAAAGGCTACCACAATACCACGTGCCTGCACCTCGAGGAGATGAACTGTCTCAGTGTACATTTAGTAGATTCTCAGTAAATGTTTGAGGACAGGAGAAAGGGGGAGAAGAAAAAAAAGAATAAAACTTAAACCCAGGCCTTCAGATCTTTTATTTCCTGCTCTTTTGCCTATAGCAGGGAGCCCCCATGCCAGAGATAAAGACCGTACTACAAGATCAGTGATGATACTGAAAATGTTTTCAGTTTCCTATGTAACCAAGCTATTTTATTCCTTACTTCAATCAAGCTATTGATACAGATAATTGATAAATACAATTTTCCACATATGGCTTATTTTAAAAAACAAAAGAAACATTAAGGTAACATGTATTACACAAATATAAGAAATGTCTTGTTTCAGAACACCGCTTTTGATTTAAAAGAACAATAGTATCTGAAACTCTAAGAAGTCTTTCCTCTTTTTGATAATCTTGTTATTCCCATTTCCTAGGTATTTATCAGATGGGTTGGATTTATTTCCAACATCTCTGCCATTGTTCTCTTAATCTGAGTTGCTGGAATTGTACTTGAGAAAATAACGAAAAGAAATTCACAATGTAATATTTTCTTTCACTGCTTCATTTGGCAAGATCAATATCCAGCTCCTCACTTCCTTTTTCCTTTCCACTAAGATTTCTGCTGCTTATAGTCTTTCATTACTCAAAATGGTTCCTTGATAATAAGAATATTTACTACTGCCTTCTGAGGTTCAAACAGCACCTGAGAATGATTTAAGAACAGTGTTCACGATTTCTTTGTTCATTTTTTAAAAATATACAGTTCTTGACTTTATAGTGATAGTTACACATGAATAAATATGTGAAAAGCTAAAACAAGAACCTAAGCTGCATTATAAACTGATCAATATTTGCAAGACATTGTAGAAGAAACAAAGAAATATATAAATCAGAGGACCTGCCACAATGGAAGCTGAAATATAGTTGAAGACTTAAAAAAATAGCAAGCTATGAAAATGTAAAAGAAGTCTAACCCAGCATCTGAGAAGGGCCAAGTGATACATATGCAAATGGACAGTAAATTTTCTCAGTGAATAGAGAAGACACTGAGCTCCAAGAAGATCCTTGAGTTCTAGGGACATGCTATGGTGAAGGCATTCAGGAAGAGCCGAGGTACAAATTGGGACTTGAAGAGAACACCAGATTAATAGAGGGTGACAATAGAATAATGAAATTGTAGACATGGAGACATGGCCTGCTCAAAATCCCTTTCATGAGCTGAAACTCAACATGTGCCACGTTCTAAAAGTTCTGCTCACAGTCAATTAATTTAATACAAATCAATTCTAATGTCTTTTATGTGCAAAGGTGCTAGTACAAATATTTATACTCAAAGTACTAAAGTTGGTTTCTGAATAAAAATTAGTATATTATGTTTCCTTCTTTAGGTACTACAGAAAATCATATCAATAATTAGATTTACTTTTACTGTTTTCAATTTGATCTATAATATACTCTTTCCAGATTTCTCCATTCTCACTCAATTATAATGTTGCTGTCCAGCACCATTTTTAAATGATCTGTATCTAATCGCCAAAAGCAGAACTGTTTCCTGACTTT